TTCCTGTGGGAATTCATTGCAGCAATTAAAAGTGCTCTCTTTTCCCATTCTTTATTTAAACACACTTCAGGTTCTAAAGTCCTTACAAGTGGGGAATGTAAGGTGTGTGTTTCTCATATTTCTAGGAGGAACTTCCAGACAGGAAGAATGTGACTTGTACCTTTCCCAAGACAGACAAGTACCAGCAGAAGCATCTCAGACCTTTCCACTAAGATGTTCCTGCAGGCTGAAAGTGAGAAAACAACCCAGATACAGAGGTATGGGGAGATGGAACATTAAAATCTCTTGAGTTCACATTTTTTCTTTCAAATCTGTGCAGATTTTGATGGCTCATTTGAGCCTTCCCACGTGGAGCACACTGCTCGCACAGCCTGGTGTCTGACTCCGCAGCTCAAGGGCTGCCATTTGGGTTGCCAGCAGTCTCTACAGTTGAGACAGAGTCTCTAAGACATATTTTAAGAAACTGGAGGGGTCTCTGGGTGACACACTGTGAATCTCTTACATGCACAGTGCACTCAGACAGACATAGGTCTCCTGGGGAAAGTTATTAGTGCCTGTAGTACAGTGTATCTATGAAGTAAGGAGAAACATTTTTTGTTCTCTCTGTATGTCTCACTCTTCTGGGACAAATACCTGACACTCAAAATAAAAGAAGGAAAGGTTTATTTAACTCAGAGTTAGTGTAGGTTTCAGTCCATGCTCTTCTGGTTCCAAGGCAAACAGCAGCAGTTCATAGCAGCAGAAACTGCAAAGATCAGAGCTCCTCCAAAGTGGTATGGCTGTGGAGATCAAACTCCATGGACAGAGCTGCGAAGATCAGAACTCCTCTCAGCAAGTGGGGGGCACAGAAGCCTTCCTCAATTCTTCATATACTCTTTTTGTGCTGTATCACTCTGGGGTGGGTCCTCCTATTGGGTGGGTCCCCTATCCCCCTGGGCATGGAATCAACAAACAGATACAGCTCAGCTTCCAGATCCAACCAAGCTTCTGACATCTCAAGTTGACACAATATATCAACCACCACATCACCCAAATGTGGATTTAGCTTGGGCAGGAAAATTTTGTTGGGCTTGGAAAGCAGGTGTATGTCTTTTGGTTGAGACCTGCTCATAGAAGGTCTGCAGCCAGTGCAATCCAATGGCCAAAGTCCTGGTCCCTTCTTTGTCTCCCACTGTGTCAGATGGTGACAAGAACCAGCCTAGATGTGCCATGGTGCAAGCTGGACAGAACAGTTTATTTTCAAAAATTGTAATAACATATATATTACACAAAGAATCATTTAACCCATCTTTAACTGTACAGTTCTTTGACATTGAGGCTGTTTACATTGAATCATTGTCATCACAATAGATCTCTGGAATTTCTTCACCTTCTTAGCTGAAATATTCTTTGTCCGCATTAAACACTGATTTCCTGTTCTCCCCTCACTCCAACCTCTTGAGGCACTTCTCTGTCTCTGTCTCTATGAATCTAACTTCTTTAGATACCTCCTACAAGGGGAATCCTACATAGGACCTTGATGGCACCCAAGACAGATTTGCCTGCATTATGAATTTTGCTCCTGAGTGAGAAATTGCGAGTAGACCTTACTTGTGGGTAAGGGCAGATGTTCGCATCTGGACGAATGGATATTTCCACACTAATGATCTTGAAACAGGACTGAATCCCAGAGTAGGAAAAGAAGAGGACTCAGAATGGGAAAAGAGAGCTTTTTTAAAAAAAATTATTTATTTACTGCAGGGTCTCACTACACAGTTCAGAATTGTAGTAATCCTCCTACCTGTATCTCACCAGTGCTGGGATCATAGGCGTGCACCACTATGTCCAGTTCCAGGGCTCGCACAGCATGCGTTACTTACTGGGAATTGAACTCCAGTCCTTGCACTTTCCAGGCAGGTACTTGGACCACAAAGCTATCTCCCCAGCCCAAGAGAGCTTTTCTTGCTAAGATTGATTTGGATTTTATTACAAGTTATTGAGATGCCTAGTATCATGATTTAGATCTAAGGTGCCTTATAAAGGTCTCATGAGTCTGGAAAGTGACTCAATCATGAGGGTTAGTACTATTTTATCAGTGGATTCATTTATTGATGAATTCAGTGGCTGAATATGCTGTTATGAGGTGGGGGCTTGTTGGAGGTGGGTCACTGGGAGCGTGACCTGGAAGGGCATATTTGCCTCCTCGCTGCCACAGGGAGAGCACCTTTGCTCTGCCATGCCTTTCCATCATGAGCTTCTGCCTTGGAACCAGCCAACTCTGAACTGAAAACCATCAGCCAAAATGTACCTCTACCTCTTTAATTTGTTGAGTCCGATATTTTGTCTAGTGACAGGCAAGTGGCTAAGACAGATTTTGGTATCAGAGAAGGAATGTCACTGCTGTGACTGTACCTGACTATGTAGTTTAGAAGCTTCTAGAACAGGTTTGCAGGAGGAGTTTGGAAACATTTGAAAATTTTGACTAGTGAAGCCATAGAATACTATAAAACAAGCTTAATGGAAGATTTAGATTAGAACTTTCCAAAGACCAAAATTCTGATAGGAGTTCAGACAGTAAAGATTAGGCTCAGGAGGTTTCATTTGGTAATAAAGACTCCACTGATATTTGGGCTAGAGGCCCTATATGTTACACTCTGGTAGAAAAATTTGTCTTCATTTTGTCCATGTCCTGAGACTGTGTGAGACTGTGATTCAAGGCAATGCTTATCTAGTGGAGGAAAGTTCAAATCAGCTCAACATTCAGGCTGCAACATGAGTACTACTAGATCTACAAGAAAATCAGGAACAAAAGTCAGATATGAAATGTTTGCAGTTTCATTAGGAAAGAAGAGCCTGTAAAGTTGGAGCAAAGGAGAGCATGGTTGCTGAAAGGATTAGTGTTAAAAAGAAGCCAGTTATGTATGTCAGGATGGTAGGAAAGGTTGGAGACATCTCAGGAATCAGTAAAACCCACTCCTTTGAAGACTCCAAGATACATAACCCTAAAGCTTTCATTTAACAAGAAAATCCTTGGGCCTTCTAATGGAGAAAGACTACATAAGGAAATTGTTCCCTGAGATTTATTTCATTGTGCTCAGCTATCTAGGCACTCAGAAGCCAGTGCTGCTATGGTCCAAAGGGGTCAGACTATAGTTTGAGTTTACAGCAGACCTTGACAGCATTCATATGATGCAAGTTATACAGGCATGCAGGTGCAAGAGTTTTGAGGCCATGAAGGCTTCCGCCCAGATTTCAAAGGAGGTCCTGGAAGGTCAGGCAGTTTGTCTTTGAAAACGTAGTTTGTAAAACTGCAGCCAAAAGTGCAGTAAAGACACTAGAAAGTTGGAGAAACCAGCCAAGAACATGGAACTTTGCCTGAGGAAAGCCTTTGGCAGTGAGTGGAGACAGTTCAAGAGAAATGCTGGAAAGACTTCAACCAGTAGAGCCATAACAGTGAGACCACTCAAACCACTTGGTTTAAGTCACAACTTGCCCCAGGGTCCTGGTCTTGGAACTATAGCATTTAATGTGTGGTCCTGATTTTGCTTTAGCCTTATTCTTCTACATACTCCATTTCTTCATTTTGAAATGAGAATGTTTGTTTACCCTTTGTCACCAGGAGTTGCAAGTACTTAATTTTCTTTTTAAATTTTTATTTGTTTATTTTTAACAGAGACTCACAGGAATTTGTCTTGAGTCTTAGAAAAGACTTTGGACTTGGACTTATGCTGGAACTCTTATGACTTTGATAACTCTTAGAGATGAACTAAACACAGTTTTCAAAATGAAATGAATATGAACTTTTTTGGGGGAAGGGGAATGTTTAGATAAAAAATGTACTCTAAAAGTCTCATGTGTTTGGAAGGTGTCTGTGTTGTGGATTAGCACTGTACGCACTAGTGGGTTCATTCATTGGTGAATGAAGTTAAGAGTGTTGCTGGGGGTGGGGCCTGGTTGGAGATGGGACAACGGGTGCAGGATCTGGAAGAGCATGTTCTTGTTCCCCAACTCTCCTCCTCTCTCTGCTCCCTACCACAGATGAGCACTTTTCTTTCATGATGCTCTTCTACCATGAGTAAGACAACTTTGACTTCAAACTATGAGTCAAAATAAACATTTTCTCCTTTAAGCTGTGGGCATCTGGTATTTTCTCCCTATTAAAGGAGCATGGCTGAGATACCTGGGGATTCCCACTGGAGGTATGTGGGATGGTAGGGTGGCACCCTGAATCCATGGAAGGAAGTCTGGGAAGGCAACACGATGATCTAGAGGGTAAGTATCCCTGCTGGTGCAGGCATCTATATTACCCTCTGTGAATCCCTAAGTCTCAGTGATGCTTAGTGTAAATCATGAACACTATCCCAGTTAAGCTACAGGGAACAAGAGAGAAGAGTGTCCTTTCTATGAAGGTTTGTAAAGGCAATGAGAGTCACCAAGCAAGGACAGGAGGCTCTGTGAGACAGATTGTCATGAATCGTGAATTTGTGTAGAGATCAGAGGCTGCACAACACAAAGAACCAAAGCAGAACGATGTGTACACAGTATCAAGTCTAAAGTTCTCAAGCATTCTTTAAGTCTCAATAAGTAACCTGGTATGAGGCCATGACATCATAATTTTGATCTTAAAATTGAATTATTGATTTTTTTTCAACATTTTATATGCTTTATTGAAAGTTGACAAGTACAACAGTTAAATACAGGGACACCTTACAACTGTGTAGCAAACATGCACAGAAACATATCCATATGACTACTATACAGGTAATATGCAGAATCCTACTGGTAAATCAATTCCTTAGAATTGATTACTTTTCAAAGTATTCAACCAGCTCAATCAAAAAACTTCAGAGAACAGGAATTTAGATATTCAGCAGCTACATTTCAGATTACACCAAATGACTAACTGTGCCAAATTCTTAAAATTTCTTTAGGTGTGGTTTAGATAGCATTTTTCATGTAATTTCTATATAAAAGAAAACCCACACCTCTTCAAACATCCAATGAAACATGTAAATTTCAATCTGTACAACCTAAATGGTAGTTACAGTCCTCTATTGTACAAAATAGTTACACTACGTACACAAATATACAATAAGCAAAACAACCTTCATAGTAAGATAGCCTAGATTCCAGCTATCTGTCATCAATTTCCCACTAATGTTTTGTGTCATCTGCTGTTTCACAAAGAGGCACAGTACTTTTTTAAAATGTATTTGGGTGACAGTCATCAATCCGTATAATAAACTGCATTCCCCTCATTTGTCTTGTCTCTTGCCTCCCTTAGAAGTTCTTCATCTTGGGAGGAGAGGAGAGAGCAGAGTCCAGTGAGGAGCTCCCCTGCTTCCTGACCCCATGCGGTAAACTATGTGCAAGCGGGAGAGGACACTCTCGGAAGTGGGGTGGACAGCAGGGAAGGAATGGAAGAAAGGCACTCGGCTCTCAGCAGTGAAGCCATTCCTCCAGTATCTGCCAAGCCGCACAGGGCACATCCAAGCTAATTCTCTGATTAACCTTTAATTCACCCAGCTAAGTTTCTTCAACCCAAAAGCTTAAGAGTGCTTAATACTGGAAACGAGATAATGGCATGTGTCAGTCTCACTTCTCTTTTGCAGCAAGCAATGAAATGGGTGACTGTGGGCGTGGATTCTCCCTAGTACATCTTCTCCTCTGTTCAGATCAGATAGCAGCAGCCAGTTCCATGGGGATACATCTGCCTATGCCGTTGGTCCTGAGCCCTGGGACGCAGGCTGGGCAGGGGGCTGTGTGCTCCCCTGTGGCTGCGTGGTGGCAGGCAGGGAGCCAGTCTGCAGCTGGGCCTGAAACTGGGCGAGCTGCTCCGGACTAGCCAATGTCTTCAGCAGATTGTTTTCCTGTTCCAACTGGGAATTTTTCTCTATTAGTTCTTTGATTTGCTCTTTAAGGACCTCCACCTCCTCTCTAACTGCATACATCAAATGGCTCTTCACCAGATCCATAGCTTGCTGGATTTTGTTGTCGATAGCGACCACACTTGCACCAGAGGAGCTATTGTCAAGTCTCACAGAAGCGTTTTCAGTCCCCAGCAAAGATGACAAGAAAGAAATTGAAAAATGTCTCAGTTGGTAAACTCCTAGATCCATCGCCACTGGTCTACACCATTGGGATTTCATGCAATTGCTGCCAAAAAACACCCTCGTGGGAAAGAAAAAAAGGGCACCGGCAGCCTTGTTTGAGCTAGATAAAATCTTCTGGCTTTCTGC